CAAAATGTTGATTTAAGAGAACTTCATGCTACAGTGATTGATTCAGATGACTGTACTCAAAGCAATCTCAATTAGCAATGGTATCAATGAGCATAGTTTGAATCCCTAGTGAGAATCATTACTTGATAATAAAAATATGAGATTGGAATTCTTATTTGGTAGGAGATAAACACTATAGTTCTTAATTCTTAATGAAATGGTTAGCTGTAAATTAATTCCGAACTGTAAAAGCTAAGGCACGTTTTGTTGCTTAATCGTTTTGATTAAGGATCTCAGTCACTGCTGTTCTTGAGCTATAAAGTCAGCATGATCTTTGTAATTAAAGTTTTCAAAAGGCAATACAAAGAATGTACATTTGGTAGTTTGATTGTAAACTTGGCAGATTGTAGCTTAAATCTGGACAGTATTGTCTTTTTCACTGTTCACCAAGTAAGAGTACTAGACTCCATTTGACAAGGACACTAGTTCTAATCCTTGATTAGCCACCAAATATATGGGTTATCTTAAGCCTATTTCAGAAGATTATTGAAATAACAAAATAGGAACGATATGGGTTGCCTTGTCCTCCTTGGAAGAAAGAGAGAAATGCATACACATGTGCATTAGAGAAGCTCAGTTTTTACAAAAAGTTATAACATACTTACTACAGTTATCCCATCATTTAATAAGGATTCTCCAAATATCATCATGTAAAGTTGTTCATTGACAGACATCTCCTCAAAGACAGCTAAGACAGCTGTTGGATCCACTGCTGAGACCATGCTGCCAAATAACAGGCTGTCAAGCAGGTTCACATCCTTGAGGCCAAAAGGTGTGATCTGGCAAATTCCATAAAGTGACAATCCAATGCCAAAGGAATTTATGAGGGAGCCCATTGCAGACCACCAAAGAATTGAACCAAAGTTTTCAAAAAAGGGGCGGGTGGACATAAAATAGCCTCCTTCGAGAATAATGGGTGGAAGGAGGTATAAGAAATAAATGCTGGTAGTCATAACTGGTGGAGATTTGTGTTTGGTGCCAAAAATAATCCCACCAACCAAAACACCCATGGCAATGTGGAGACAGTTTTCTGGCATGAAGTGTGGAAACCGATGGTAGAGATGGAAACCTTGAAAGGAAATAAAACCATCATGATGCTCTATTGGGGTTTGGGAATAAAAAAAATAAATCTTACTCTACCCTTTGCTCTTCATATTGGATATCAGCAGTGCATTAGCCTGGTGGAGCCCTAGGACAGATTTCTCACACTCTTGTTGAAGGTGGACAATTTGTTGCCTCTTCAGCAATAATACTACAGTGGGCTCATTCCTCAGAATTTCTGAGCAACCAAAATGCATAAGGAACATTGAAACACTACACAACCAGATTTGATCAGATAGCTTAATTGTTATTGTGATTAATAGATTTAAACATATTTAATTTTTATTGTAGTCTAAAGTATATTTTTTTTAAAAAAATCTTAATGTCCTTAATATAAAGGTTTTATACCACACAATGGTTTGTGATCCCCAGATACTTCCAGATTGTAATTCAGATTTACCCAGAAGGCAATAAGAAAGTTACCACAACATGAATTTCCCTTCTGGATAATGAATATCAGAAGCTGCATCTCAGTTCATACTTTCAAACACTTCCTTTGAATCAGAAAATAATGAATTGTGGTCACACCAGATAATCTGATAAATGGTCTACACAGATTTCACTGATTAATTGAAGTGCATAGGGAGAGACACGGTTTAGTTTTTTGCATCTGGCAACCTGAGAACATATACATGATCTGTCTTTCTGATGTTTCATTAAATTGGTGAAAATTTGATGTTGTTCAGCTACACCATTTTTTTTGGGGGGGGGAGTGTTATGTTTCCTTTTTCTTTCAGTGAAATGGCCTTGTCATTCACTTATTTTATTTTTACTCCAATGTTCCATCATATATTATCCTCTATTCTTTCAGGTATATTGTGTCTAGGGTGATTTTTACCAAATATCTTCTCAGCTTCCCATCTCAAACCCTCTGTTTTCCAGCATTATTTTCATAGTCTTCAATACACAAAAAGAACAGCAATATTTGTGATCTTCCTCATAGAAGAGTGACAGCAAATATGCTAGCATTTTTTTTCCATGACTCTTAGAAATGGTTTTCAGTTTTGAGATAGATAGATAGATAGATAGACAGACAGACAGACAGACAGACAGACAGACAGACAGACAGACAGACAGACAGACATTGATCAGTTAAATAATAGTATTCATTATATCAGAGCAGCTTACACAATTGGTGCTAAAGACTTCATCATCACCATAAACATAATATAATGTAGACTATTCCTTTTTCTGTAAGAAATCTGCATATGGTTGTATATTACGCAAATCAATAGATCTTTCAAAAGTGTTGAAGTTTGTATTGAAACTTTTCAGTATTCAGGCAAAAGACTAGTCACCAAGGACAGTATTCTTAGTGATAAAAAAGGTAAGCCTCTATCAGATTACAACATAACTGAAATTCTGCATATCTATGACAATGGTAAATTAAAAACTAAATTATTTTTAGTTATTTTTAATGTAAGAACTTTAAATTATTTCTAATTTAAATACATATAGAGAATGTACATTTTTAAAATTCAGTATTGATCTTTATTGGATTTATTTTCAAATGTAGGGAATGAAAGCAAACCATTTAAATTAAAATATTAACTATATTTTCAAGTACTGTGGTTTGAATGAAACAATTTATTAGTTTTAGTTTTAGTTTTAGTTTTATTAAATTTATACCCCGCCCTTCTCCCGGAGGACTCAGGGCGGCTATTATTGCCTTTCTTATGAAAATGTAAAGTGTTGTTAAAACTGTAGGTCTGTTCATAACCATCACTGTAATAAACCCCATTGATTATAAGTATATTTACATCCAAGTAATAATGCATAGTATTTTACTTTGTAAAATCCTCACCTTCCGTACATATTATAAATGGAAGGCTAAAAAAAACACTTTATGTTTAAAAATTGAACTCCAAAATGCAAAACCGTCAGTGTTTTTCCAAAGTTAATGAAGTGAAACTTTCAGAGAAAATGTTAACTTTTTCACACTAAACGCTGCATATGCTCTTGAAGGTGTCTGAATTAAAAAGTTGCACACAGTGCTAAAGTGTGTGTATTCAAATGTAATTCACATGGAGGTTAATTTTGGGTTCATCACAAAATAACTTTAAGACCATTAGCACTGTATCTATTCTCACTGGGTGATATTTGCACGATTGATTTTGGGTGACAAGCTTACTTAATTTTTCAAGCCTTAAGTAGAATCTTCTTTGTAACCTAAATTATCTCACTAAATTGTTATTTCCTTGGTAACAAGCTGATTTTTTTCTATTTTTCCAGTTTTACTTGTTCACACCTACTTTTATTAAAGAAGCATTTTTCACTTACCTATTTTCGCAAGGGAAGCCAAGAGTATCCAAAGTGTAACTTCATAGGGTATTTGTACATATTCATAGTCTAAGGTGAAAATATGTAGCCGCTCATCTCGTCCTGATTCTGTAGCATCAAAGGGGTCAGCTTTAGATAAAGCACTAGAATTCGTATGAGAAAGTTGCAAAGACATCTCTCCAACAGCAAAATAATTTTCTAGGCTTGATAACAGCAACAAGCAGCTAAGACACCCAAATATTTTAACAGCTATGATGAGAAGAATTTTATGTATGGGACGTTTTCAAGGCTGAAATCTTAAACTTGCTTTTATTTTGTTAAATTCCCATTTTAAGTCAGAGTCTTTAGGATCGTTTCAGCTTTATGTAGGCTTTCTGTCTTGTTGGTTGGTCTTCTCAAACTCATTCTTCTATATTTCATTTACAAGATTTTTTCAATATTTTGCAATATTCTGTGCCACAGCTTTCAGTTGCAGCCTTTCACTCCCGAGACTACTACAACACAATCCACCAGACTGTCTGAGTTACAGAGAATCCAGAAACAGAACTATTTGACAGGTCCTCCTCCAATAGCAGTTTTTCCAGGTTTACTTACAGTCAATCATTTCTGGGTTTGTGGCAGAAACACATCAAATGTTAGGTTAGAGACACCTAGTGGAAGTCACAAGACCTGCAGCCATGACTTTACTGGAAGACTTCAAGAAACCTTTGGGACTATCAAGGGATCACCTTTATTTGTTTCTTTGTTTTGTTTATTAATTTGTTTTGTGGATTTTTTTTATTGCCTCGATTGTCTGCAATCTAAACAATGTACAATATTCAACTTTGATAAATCAATTATAGTATACAATAATAACATTAAAATAGCTTAATTACACAAACAAACATACATTTGGGAGCTGGGAGCTATAATCTCCAGTGCATTTCACAAAAAACAAGGACTTTACAGATAATAGCCAAAACCTTGAACTGTATTTGGAAACAAATCATAGGCAATGGTAACATGGTGTTATATTATAGTAACAAGGGTGCTCATAGTTGGTCATTTTCTGTTTCTCTGAATTAATTATTTAATTCATGTAGGGGTTTTTTTTCTTTTTAAAAAGAAAAACTAATGTATTTTTTCTCTCACGCCCTTTAAATTATATTCCAGCCAGGAACATCTTTAAAAGGATAAATCCGAATCAAGCAGCACCATATCCAGCTGAATAGCATGTCTATAAATAGCTATGGCATAAACATTAACATTACATAATACAACATTAAATAATTATAATGTTTATGAAAGGCTAAAGACCACAGTTGTTAAAATGCAAGCCAGAAATCCTAGCAGTGGGGGTCGCCAGAGCCCACTTAGAGATAGATGAATCTGCCCATTTTGGCTTTTCTTCTCAGTTTTCTATGGATAAATGTAGTTCTTCCTGTTTCCATATTAGAATCTTAACAAGCTCATTTTGCTTCACATTTATAAAGCGCATATTTTTCTATCACAACAAATTGTGCATTACTTCCTCCAATATGCATTTTGGATAAGATTTTTTTTGTCTTTAATGGGCTTTATTTTTAAAAACAATTGGTAAAATACATGGCAACATTCATAGAAGTACAACTTACAGAGTTTCAGTTTAAAATGATCATATTAGAAATAAAATGCAAATGAACCTTTCTCAAATTCCCATCTGCCATCTAACAATCATTTATAGCTGTGGGGCTTCTGAAAGACTGAGCAATGGGCCCTACTGTATTATGCCCTAGGGCTATGCTCATCCTTTGTTGCTCATTTTCTGTTACCAACACCAGCGGTTACTGATGGGAAATGAAGGCCACTTGTTCACAACACTGTTGCTGTGTTTTACTGGCAAGTGATACCGTAATTTTTTCCAGAACTGCTTATTAGCTATGGGAGAGGTAGATGTTCTCCAGGTAAGCCTGGGCAAAATCCTGAGGGCTTTCTTCACCTTTGGAGATAATGAAGGTGGCTCCTGAAAAGTCTCAACCTGTATTAGGATGGGTTTCATTGCTTTATCTTCCAAGGCAGTGTTGATTGCTGCTTCCAGTTCAAAGAGAGCCTGGCTACTTGTAGCATAATTTGGACTCAAGATGACGATGACTCGCCTGCTCTTTTTCATGGCATTGACAATGTCATCAGTGTATGCTGTCAAAAGAGAGCATGATTAATAATGTACTTTATTTCTTTTTTTCATGACTTTGAATCTATGCCTTGAATCAGAGGTATAAAGCAGGGGCTTACAGAATTTCAAGTATTAGGATAAAATCCAAGCAAAACAATAAACTCTGAAAGCAAGTTAATGAAATCTGAGAAGTAAAAATGAAACTGTTCTTTCTTAGTAGCTCATCTACAGTACAAAATAGCACTCTCCCACTAGGTCAGGAATAAATATGGGCTCTTTGCATTTTCCACTGACCAATACTGTCAGCACTAATGACTTTTACAGAACTGCTGCATTTTACTCCAATAGGTCAAATGTCTGAGTTAGTAAACATGATTTGGGTTTGAGTTTGGTTTTACAGGTAGTCCTTGACCTATGGCCGCAATTGAGCCCAAAGTTTCTGTTGCTAAGTGAGACAACTGTGAGGTGAGTTTTGCCCCATTTTATGATCTTTCTTGCCAACAGTTGTTAAGTGAATCAATGCAGTAGTTAAGATAGAAACCCAACTGTTAAGTGAATCTGGCTTCCCATTGACTTTGCTTGTCAGAAGGTCACAAAAGGTGATCACATGACCCCGGGACACTGCAACTGTCATAAATATGAGTCAGATGCCAAGTGGCTGAATTTTGATCATATGACCATGGGGATGCTGCAATGTAAGTCTGAAAACAATCCTAAGTCACTTTTTTCAGTGCTGCTGTAACTTCAAATAGTCACTAAATGAACTGTTATAAGTTG